AACCTACTGATGATGAAACAATTTGTAGAAGAAAAAAAATTAGATTAGTGTTTTTACTAATTTATTATTGCTCTGTTGTTTAAGAACATTGATTACTCTATTTGTAGAATACACAAACATAATTTACATAAGTTAGATGTTAACACTTATCTAACATATTTAACGAAGTGCACCAACGAGAAGGTAAGCCATAGGACTTTGCACTCCATCTGTAAGCTGTCATGTTGCTTAAGGTTAACCCATTTCTGGATTCTTTACTTTACTTTATAGGCAGTTAATGAAAAGTAATAGTAACTTAGCCTAGGGATAGCTCTCCGTTTCTGAATTCTTTTCTTTTTATATTTTAACTTTTTTTTATATCTATAATAACGTGTAGTTTAGCATAACCCATAAAGATAAAAAATATTGATAAATAATATAAAAATACCCTTTAATTAAACAAAATGGGTACATGTAAACACAAAAATATAATTAATACCATCAAAAAAGATAAAAATCACTCAAATTTATTTATTGAATTTACTAATAAAGGAAATAATTTAAGTTTAAATTATGACATAAAATTATATATAATAAAAAAACCCTCGTGATCCTCGCTACAAAGAATATGATTACTTTTTTCAAAATCAATTAATAAAAGAAAAGATCATAGTTCATCAGATTCATTATCATACTTAACATAGAATGTGGTTCGTTTCCACTTATTTGATCAGTTTGTACTACTTGTGCACATTCCAAAGATACCTTAAGAGAATTTTTTTTGCTAACACAATCTTGAAAAGAATACCTACAAAATCAGATGGATTATAAAAATATTTTGATAACGAATGTTTTTTTTGTCGCTTTATTAATTTGTAGTTAATATTTTTTGTAATTAATATTTAGTCTTGTATCCTGAATTTTTACCATCAATTTTTTTGTTTGTTTTATTTTTAACAGCCACATAATGTAAATAGGTTTAAAATTATTACTCAAATTACTTAAAGATTGTTTGGCATTAAATTTGCTCAAAAGACAGTAGTAAGAGTAGTAAGAAGTCGAATTTCTTGTTTTGGTTCTTCTAACTTTTTTTTAAAAAAAAGTTTTATTTGTCACATTCCATACCGGAGATGATAAAATAAAAATTAAGTTGAGCAAGGAGTACTTTTAATCTTTAAGACTCTTCTATATTACAAACTTTTCTACAGTTTTTTGCGATGAAACCATGCTTTTATATTTAAACTTATTAAGTTATTAAAAGCTTTATTTTTTTTTAGTATAGTTAATTTTTTTCTCTCTTTTTCCTTTATACTTTGCTTAAGACACATAACTTTATCCTTTTTAAAAACTGCTTTTCTATAACCATATTTGTTTTTTATCATTGGTTTTTGAACAATCGAGTAATTCTTTTCTTAGTTCATCAGTTTTACTATTTAGTCATTCTTATGTTTGATTCTGAGACTAATTGTCGAAGCCTAGAAAGTTTGAATATTTGCATTTGGTTGTGTGCGTACCATTAAATTACAATGCCAACTTGCTATTTTTGCAATATTTCTTTAACTTTCTGATGTTATCAACTAGTTGAGTTATCTTTATAGCTAATGATTTTCTACAACAAAGCAGTTGAACATTACACAAAACATAGAATATACAGCATTGTATGAGATATCTTTCAATGTTTAATATCCAATAATAAATTTCTTTATTTTATCTAAATAAGTATACAATTTTCCAGAGGTCAAGCCAAATAAATATATAAATTTAAAACAGTTAATTACATTAACTGTTTTAAATTTATAAATTTTAAACAGTTAATGTAAATTATGTAATACAATTACATTCTAATTTTCAAAATTTGATAACAGTTTAGTTGTTTATATATCAAAACAATATAAATTCTTTTTAAATAAAATACACAATGTTATATATGCAATTTACAGTGTAACTTACAAAATAATAAAACTTACTAACAAATTTCCCGATGATTTAATTGAATTTAAAATGAAAGTATTTACATTTGTACACGATACTATGTATCTACAAAACTTTCAATGAGTGTCTTTCATTGAAAGACACTCATTGAAAGTTTCAAGGATTTTGTATAAAAAACAATGAAGTACAAGATTATTTTATAAGAAATACAAATAATTATCACTTCAAAACCAGAACAAGGAAAGCGGACTAAAGTCTATCTTTTGCAATGGGATAAAGTTTTAAAACAAAAATTGCCAAATGAATTTAAATCTCTTGACATGAAGGGATTCAAGAATCAAGTTGTGAAGCTTTTAAATAGCTGTAAACAGGCTGATCATCATCATCAACATCATCATCATCGTCATAATAATAAAATTATTATTATTATTATTACTTTTCAGTAAGTAAATAATAATACTATAAAACTGAAAAAAAAAATTATTTCAGTAATCATTCTTTTGAATATAATTAATAAAAAAACCTATGCAACAATTACAGCTAGATATATCACCGTAATTATTCTATATCTATATTTTTATACAAGTAAAGACCATCTACGTGCCCATTTTTTTTCCACATAAAAAAATAGTCTAACGCACATATATTTGAGTGCGCTTACTTTTAGTAAAAGCAATTTTACAAATCACCAGTTGAAAAACAAAAAACCCACCCTAATTAACCATTAAACAAAAAATTAAAAATACATACATATTATTAATAAATAGTTCCAGAACCTACTTAGCGTTCAAAAAGTATAACCATATGAAATTTAAATCCCCCTCAATTAGGGACTTACAAGTTTTTATGGTCATAACTTTTGAATGTTAAAAGATTATTGTATGAAATTTAAAATTTTTGTAAATATAAACTAGTTATAAGGTAGGGGGGATGGCTAACGTTTACGGTAAGGGAGGGGGCTAAGATTTTAGGATTTCTTTGTTCCCATTCTCTTATCAAAGTAATTTTTTTATGTGAAGAATTTATTCGTCATACATATAAACGAAAAAAATTTGGAATATCTTTTTTATTTAAAAGTTGGTTATTTCAAACATTTAAAAACCTTTCTACGCCACTGGATATATATATATATATATATATATATATATATATATATATATATATATATATATATATATATATATATATATATATATATATATATTTACGACTAAAGTTTCATTTGGCTGCATATGGTCACATAAAAAAATGCAAATAAAAAAGAAAAAAATTGAACTAAATTTACAAGATGATCTGGGCGTCATCTCTAGCAATTTATTTAAACTGCTAGGGTGTTAGATTTCAAAATCCAATTAGGACTTTAATAGAAGACCAGTAAACCATAGTCTCATTGTAACGTTTATTTTTGTTGAATTATTAACGTGGTTTTGACAAAAGAAGCGCCAAAAAAGATCAATTACTATTTCACCAATAATGCTCTAATTAATTGCGTAATCCGAGTTTAAAGTATGACAATATATTGCATTGAAACAGAACTCAAAAATGTAAAACTTTTATACTTACATTATAGGCACACGTTTTAAGATTAATAGAGGCGGACCTGTTTTTTTGTGAATATTATTTCGTTATCTTGCAATAGATAGAAATTTTTTTTTCAAAGAGTTCTGTAAATTTGTAAATCACACACACGTACACACATACACGCACATGCACGCACACATACACTTTCTACAATCTCTGTTATTTAAAACTTTTTATTATAATAAATGTTATATTCTTACTATTTATCTTGAGCGTTTATTTAGATTTTTATTTATCTAGAATGTAACGTAAATAAAAAGGAGGTTAAGTTCCTAATCTCCTCCACTCTCTTTTGCGTAATTGTAAATCGTTTCAATTGACTATGTACTTATGTTTTTTGAAACCTTTTAAATCCTTATTTTTATATACATTTATATTTATTTTACCTAAAATATAAATTGTAAAAATTCCGTTTATCCAGAGCATATATGTGTACATTATCCAGAATATATATGTGCATTTTATCCAGAACATTTATGTGTATATTATCCAGAACATGTGTATATTTGAGTATAATTAGCTTAAATGTATATACTTATATAAAAATGTTTTGCATTTACTTTACATTGATTTCAGTGCTTAAATATAAATCCTTTTGAAATTTTCGAAATTTCAGCTAAAATTTCATTAAAATTTCAAATTTTCGTATTTCTATATAATTCTTAATTAGCAGAAATATAGCATATACATCATATATCATACGATGAAGACAGGAGCTATACTAAAATAAACTGGCATTCCTTCACAAAAAATTTGCTATTTTTTATTAGAAAATCCAGTGAATCGTCTGTTTTTTAAAGTTACAAATCTTGATTATTTAAAATTTAAATATTTGTCAACTAGTAGAATATTTTAATTCTTTTAGTTTTATAAATTATTTCTTCAATTTCTTATTTTTTCTTAAAAAGCATAAAAACTAATTTAAATACAATAACATTTTCTATTTAAAATCAAAACCTATGTTATTGAATTCTTTCTTATTTTTAATTTTTTTAAATGTTCTCCTGATTTATAACAAATATAGTTTTTTGAAACAAAGGTTCTTTACTTAAAAGTTACGTCATTGACTGCGAGGAAACTTTCTTTACAAATAAATGTTTATTTACTTTATAAATACAATAAAAGTATATATTTAAGTTTAATTTTATTTTTTAATTATAAATCCACTTAAATATTCAAATTATAAAAAAAGTTCAACTTATAGTCGTAACATTTTAAAATAACTATCAAAACCAAAGAACTTGTTGTAAACCTAAATAATCACAATAAACTGACATTATTTGAAAAACACCACCCACCTTGTCCACCCATATCCAAAACTATGAAAATTACAATGATAACAAACTATGATACGAAAAAAAATTTCATAACTGCCTCTTGATTGTTCTTATTTAACTTAAATTTTCACACTTTATTTGACATAAAAACCTTAGTATAACTTTTTTGTTTGGTTATTATTAAACGTTGCTATGAGGAAAGGCGGTGTTTTTATATAAATAACAGTAGGCTGTACAAAACTTCGCTTCTATGATGAACAAATTTTAAAGCTCACTCGTATTTTATATTCACATGGTTATTCACACAAAATCTTTTTATGTATAAGTATACAACAAAAATGTTGAACTTATACAAATAAGGTGTTAACCACCACACCACACTGACGGTCTACACATCCGAACGCATTTGTCGCCTTGCCATATTATACAATCCGGGCGACTTCGTTTTTCAGTATTTTTGGAGACACTTGTAAGATCATTTAGAAGTTTTTCTAGTTTCTTCAAAGAGTTTCGTTGTTCCATGTACAAGCTGAAACGTTTCTTAATATCATTATTAATCAGTTCTTTCCGTATTTTATTGCTTTCAATGGAATTTTCAGTTTTTTCTTGCTTTAAATCTAAATTTTCAAAAAAGTTTATCGACTCATCGTTAACGTTTGAACTCTCGTCTTGCTTAAATCTTTTATCTATTTCCTTTAAAAGTTCTTTTAACTGTAAAAAATCATCACTAGTTTTATCGCTAATTTTGTTTGAGTTAACGCTTTCGTCGTTTCCACTTCTTTTCAACTCTGGAGAAAAATTACGGTTTTCCTTTTGAAAAGTCTGAAGTAATTGTTCCAGTTCTGACTCTTGTTTTTTAGCTAGAACCTCGCTAGAAAGTTTGATATTGTCCTCATTGGTAAGACTGACACTATTCTCACTGATATCAAATCCAAGAATAGTACCAAACAAAATGCAAACAATAAGCAACGTACTTTTATAAGACATCTAAAGTTAAAAAAACGTTTAATCACTTAAACGGATACACTCAAAATTAAAATTCGAAGCATGTGAATTTATTTAAATAAAATACTTAATACTTTTCTTATTTGTTTGTTTCTTTTATGTTTAAATTACACTTGTAAGAATTTATAATTATAAATTAGATTTACCTTCAAAAAATACTTCTTTTTCGTTTTCAACAACGTTGTTACTTGCTTGCGTTTAAATTAGTTTCTTTTCCTTTACAACACTTTTATTGTTGAGTACAAAACTTGTAGCCTTAGCTACGTATATTTGACTTCCGAAATTCGACAAAGCTTATTCTGGTAAATATTCTCAAATGATTTAACGCGGAGACTTGCCGTTTATAAAAATAAAAAAAGATATGTTTTGCATTCTCAGTTTAAAGTAATTCACAAATTTAGATTTGTGAAATAGTGACGTTTTTTTATAAACTTAACGCTTCAAAGCGCCACTTATTAGAATAAAAGCGATTGATTAATACTCTACTTTAGCAAGTGCATATATGGAATTATTCTATAAATATGTTTTATACAAACAACACTATTAAAAACAAAACAAAAAAAAAAGAGATAAAGTTGCACTTTAATTAATTATCATATGTTGATTGATTACCTAAAATTGGATTAGCAAGATTGATTTATTCATTTGGTGAAACACTAACTAAAGTTCTTAACAAAACACTTAGCGAAGAACATGCAAAAGTTGCGGCTTTTTATAATATTTCAAAGACACAACGATGTTAACATTGAATGGAAAAAAAATAATAATAATGAAAAAAAAATGTGGGAGGAAGATATGATATTTTTGAAATGTAATATTATGTTGTTTTTAGTTTAAGATTCCTTTGTACATTGTCATAAGATTCCATTCCATGACGTCGCTACTTGCTTTTAAAAGTCAAAAAAAAAAAATTTATTAAGATTGAAGGTGTCTAAGTCATTATCAGACTTTACTTTTTTAGTTCACGCCCAACTATTTATAAACTCTTTAGAACAAAACCACTATAGTTTTAAATCGCCTTTGAATAGTTTTCTGATAACTTTTTAACAACGAAAACAGGAAAATTACTGGAATAAAGTTAAGCTTTTATCATTGTCATAAGAAATCAATCTAAATTCATTTCTTATGACTGTGCTATCGTTCATGCATTTCCTTCATAATAAATGTAATAAGTGATTGTTTTATTTACTGTCTTCTTAAGCCAAGACAATTCGGCTGACTAAATTGGGATTTAAAAGCTTTAATAAAAAATGTAAAGAATTTAATATCTTCAAATAAATTGCAAAACTCACGTGCAATAAAGTGAGAAAAAAAGCCAGCTTTTAGATAATACAAAAATAATGTTGCAATAACAAGGACTTTTTTTTTTTTTTTGGCGAGAGGGGGAGAAGGAAGTAGGAAAAATAAAAGTTTGTTAGTCTTCTCAGTTTGAAAACTTGTTGTTATTCCTTATTATTTACTTAGTAACTACTCCTTCTTTTTAATTTTTTTTTTGTTCTTTTTTATTTCACTTTATTTACTTATATTCTAGCAAAAAAATCATTTTATTCAGCTCAAAATAAAAAAATTAAAACATCTGTAAAATTCAATAAAAAAATGTGTGCAATTTTTAGTGAATTAATGCAAACCTTACACATTTATTAAATTTGGCTGTCGAGTTGATTTAATTATCGATTTTTCAAATTTGATTGTCGAGATGTTTCAATTTCGATTACGTCGCCGCAAAAACGTGTTATTTTGTTTTGTTTTAATTGTTGTCTAAACCTTCCAAGGGAGCCAGCCAGATTTGTTAAGAATTTATTTACTAATATTATGCTTGTGTGGCTACTTATTTGACTTGTGATTTGTACCGTTTAACATGATTTAATTTGCAATAGGGTTCTAAAATATTAGAGACGTTATTTCTTAACATAGCATGTAAAATCAAAGCTAATTGTATTTGTTTAATATACACACGTAGCTTTGTTTCCATTTTTTATTTTGAAACTATACAATATAAAGTAAAGAACATTAAAGACTGCATATTGAATTTTTTTGTTTTATTTGTTTATTTTTTTATAGTAATTTAAGACTTAAAAATTTTGTCAAAACATCATTATTTTTCATTTTATTGTATATTGTACAGTGCTATAATGTATTAGAACCTACAGCAGGTTGTTATGCATTTAACATTGTCATCGTCGTAATATATATATATATATATATTATATATATATATATATATATATATATATATATATATATATATATATATATATATATATATATATATATATATATATATATTATTGTTATATTATGACGGCATTTCAAAGAGTTATACAAAATATTTCTCAAGTAAAGGTTTTTTATGTTGATATTAGGAATCGGTATATAATTATTTACTTATTGACAATGTCTTTTGAAAATGAGTGTGAAAAGAGATTTCTTAAATTTAAATCTAATAACAGATAAATCTAATAACAGATTTTTTTTTAACAAATTTAATAAAAACTAATATATGTCTGCTCAGCCGTTAACTTTTATGTTTTTTGTTTTTTTTACGTTTGAATATTTATAAGGACTTAGGCTCGTCATAAAAAAACGTGTTTTTTTCTTTTTTAATGTAAGTTTGCCTTTTTTTTACATGGAAGGATAAAAAACAAACTTATAGTTTGCAACACAACAATAAAACATAAACAAAGTATATTGTAAACAAAAAGGGGCAAACGTGTAAAACTTTTGTGACTTAAAAACAGGAATAGCTACTTATGTATTTTTTTTTTTAGTATGTGAAGAACTACGATTACAAATATCAATTTAACGTTAAGTTATGTCACTGATGGCGAGAATTAAAAAAAGATTAGGTAGTTATTAAAAGTTTAAAATAATTAGAATTTTTTTAAATAGATGTCATTATAAGGCTCTTCCTAAATGACGTAAAACTGTAAAAACTTTCGTCACTAAAATTTGAGTGAACCTTTTGAGTATCACATTTTATACTAAGTATTTGCGAAACCACAAAAATGGAGCGGCCTTGTCAAGTTGCAGGTTTTTATATTAAAATAACTTAGGTTTAATAAAATTGTTTTATAAGGTTTAAAATCACTAATTTGTTTATATCGCATGATAACCTTTAGTTATCTAGCAACATAAATAGACTTTTATAACGACAATCTAGAGTTTTCGACTATGTTTTACTCTATAAAAGTTCATGAAACAAAGAAAAACATTTAACAAACGGCTATAAATAAACAGCCTGATCATGTGTTTACGCTATTGCTTGTAGTAAAGGTAGAAGTAGACCGTTAGGGGGCAGTCAAGGTACTGCCTCATGTCCAACTTGTAAGAGAGATATTGTAGGTGCAATATAATTAAACATTAAAAAATACTTTATAATTAGTTTTTTAAATCATTTTCAAAGAAATCTTTATTTGTTATTTTTTTAATTTTTTTGAGATTAATAAAAAATGCGTGAAAACATTTATGTAAAAAACCTAAATCTTTGGCTAAGAACGTTATTGAATGAAGTAGACACTACTGAGTCAATTTTATGTTAAATTCATTTTCAAGCTTTTTGATCATCCGAACATTTTTAAAAACTTGCAGAACAACAAAAATGATAAAATGAAATTTAAACTTTAGATGTAAAAAAAAAATTATATTTGCAAAAAAGTTGACAATTAAATTTTAGATGTTTGTCTTTATGTTTATATTAAGAAACAGCTCGAGGCTGAAGTACGGGTTACTTCTTCACAGAGGCAATTCTATGAATAAAATGAGGGCGGATGAATTCGTAAAAAGTACCGAATGGCTCTTAAAAAAAATAATAAAAAATAAAGTCCTCAAAACGAAAGTTTAGCTGACTAAATGTTTCGAATACCCAACTAGCCGACTATCTTCCTCACAGGGGTGTGGAGTCGTAAAAAAAAAGTAACGACTCCGACTCCGACTCCGGTTGTTGAAATTTTTTGAGTACAACTCTGACTCCAACTCCAACAAAAAAAATTCTTTGAATTCTTTAAAAAATATTGCCCAGTAAGTTGAAATTTTTTTTTGACAAATTTATGAAACATTCTTTGATGTTTAATATGAACATAAGGTTAATTGAATGTTTTGTACATGCACGTGCATTACCAAGAAATTTTACTATCGGAGTCGGAGTCGCGATATTTTTTAGCGACTCCGACTCCGACTCCGGTAAAATTGTCGCAACTCCGCGACTCCGACTCTGACTCCACAGCAACAAGTTGATGAAACACTTTTTGTACTATTTTCAATTAGACTTACATTCATCCATAAATTTTAAGTTTTATAGTATTATCTCTCAGCGTTCAAAAATTATGATTATATAAAGTGTAAACCCCCTCAGTTTGAGGGGGTTGCAAATTTTATATTGTCAGAATTTTTGATCGCTAAGAGATAACACTATGAAACGTTAAATTTATCGATGAGTATAAATCTAGTTGAAAATAGTACAAAAAATATTTCATTAACTTGTTGCTCTCACGTTTGGGGCAGGCTAGGCTAAAGTTTTAGGGCTTTTTTGTTCCCTGGCTCCAATTACCGCAATTTTTTGCAAAGCATAATTATTTGACATAAGTATAAACATATAAATGTTTAGAGTTTGCTCCAGGTCTGGAAGTTAGCTATCTCAAAGACCAAAAAATTTAGTTTGCGCCACTGAAGCCCAACTTGTCCTATATTTATTAATTACAATTCGGAAACATAAACGATGCGCAAGATTTGTAAATGGAATGTAAAAAGTGAGTTTACCAATTTTTCTAGTCCAATCTATCTGTTTATCTGTAATCTATTAAAAGAAGTAAAATATTTGATAAACATTTTTAACCTAATTGAAAAGTATTCACAAAATAAAAATTAAAGTTTTTTTAATAAAAATAGACAAATCTACAAATAAACTTTTGTAATTTATTAAACATATAAGTATTAGTAGGCTATATGTATTTGTGATTGAACAATAAACACTTTGCTGTTTAGAAAGTGCAACAAAGTATCTTAAAGTAGTTTAAAATATTCAGTTGTTTAGAAAATGAGTGTAACTCTTCATTGTAAAATGTCAAACAAAAAAATCATACACAGTTTACTAGGGTAATTTTACATAGTTTCGCCCATCACTCAATCTCGCCCACCATCTTTAATTGCTTATATGTCAGTTAACTCACACTCTGCACCATTTTTAGAGCAGCAAACCAGCCTTATCAACATCAAAACAACTTTGACCTCAAAAGAATCGCAAATAAAAAAGTATCTCTTAAAGAAAATTTGTTGATTTCGGTAATTTTTTTGCTACTTAATTTGCCATATTTCAATGCAAATCTACCGAGTTAATTATTTATTATGCATGTTAAACTATAATTTAATTTTATTCTCCACTGTTTAATCTCTTTTTGAAATAACATTTATAATCGTTTAAAATTGTAGAATACGCATAAAATTGTTTTCTGCTCAAGCTACCAAATTAACTCAATCTCGCCCACAGAATAAATGTATTGTCGCCCAATGCATCAAATTTGGGCACTTTATTAAATTAATATGACATTCATACTGCAATTTAATTTATCTAGGTATTGTCTTGAAAAAAATATGGTTAAAACAAGAGGTGGGGGACGTAGATCATCACCAAGATTTCAACGGATGTTGGTTGGAAAGATTGCTTCTGTAACAGAGGCTACAATATGTTATAATACAACTCATCTTCATGATGGTATAACTCCTTCAACATCTGGTAGTAGTACTCTTGACATTTTTCAAATGAAACAGCTACC